CCCCAAAACCCCAAAACCCCAAAACCCCAAAACCCCATTTTCTGTTTTTTTAGTTGAAATTGACTTAGCCTTTATTCTGTGAGTGTTATCTTGGTTTTAAACTGAGAGCCAACGCCAAACCTGATGAAATCGTTCTTCTTTTGCTCAGGATCTAGTTCATATTTATTGCCATACTTCAGAATAATGTAAGAAATTACAACTTTTATTTCAAGCATTGCAAGTGATTTACCTGCACAATTTCTAAGACCAAAAGTAAATGGCATAAATACGTTTAACCCGACAGGAGTACCATCAGGACTTGTGAAATACTCGCTTTCAGGATTAAATCTCTCAGGGATAAACTTCTCAGGCTCTTTCCATTCTTTTGAACTATAATGAGAAGCAGCGATGCACAAAAATATTTTTGATTTCTTTGGAATTGGGACTCCACAAACAGTGACGTCATTGATTGCTTGATATCCCAACGACATTGTGGCAGGGTTATCGTATCTCAGAGTTTCCTTGATAACGTATGTCAGATAGTCTAGCTCATCAATCTTTTGAGGCGTCAGATGTTCACCAATTGAATCAGCGTTGATCTCTCCAAAAACAACCTTAAGTTCTTCAATACATTTCTGGATGACATCAGGGTTCTTTTTCATGAAGAAGATACAGCTTGAGATTGCATGAGATGAAGTATCATGTCCTGCGAAATAAAATAAGATCATGTCCCTCATTAAGAGATCTTTGTCAAAAGAGCTGTTATTGGCTAGAACTCTATAGTACACTGAGTCGTCATCTTTATTCTGCTCCAAGTAGCCAGAAAGGACCCTCCACAAATTCTGACAATTTTCACCAACAATATTATTTGGTCTGAGCAAATTTCTATGAACCATAAAAGGGAACAGGATTGAAAGCGGATGGGATTTAGCTTTGAAGCAATCCTTGCTAAGGGTAGTGATGTACTGTTCAAAGTTTATCTGGTGAACCTTTCCTTTGAAATCTTTGTAGTCTATCAAGCCTATCTTTTGCTTGATATCAATTCCAAACAGGATCTCTGTAATTATAGCAAAGGTAGTAGACTGCATTTCTTTACTAAGATCGATTTCTTCATTTTGTTTCCAAGCATTAGTATTTTCCTTGATCTTCCTGATCATCAGAGGGATGAATCTTGATGAGAAGTTGATTCCAATAACTTTCATAATAGCATCTCTCCTCTGCTTCCAATCTTGGTTACTTCTTATCTGATCAAGAGACCCTACACACATCCTCCCAAAACTTTTGCTCGAATGATCCCATCTATCAATATCTTTCGGACAAAGGTCTCTAAACTCCTTAAATGCCCTACAGGACGTCAGCAAGAAATAAGGTTGTTTTCCACTAAACACGACTCTTATATCCATCTCCGAATTCTTAACCCCATCTTCCATCAAATAATAGCTCATAAACTTATTCTCCTTCTTCATTCTCTCCACAACCTCATACTCCCCGAACAAAGAGGTTGACTGACTCATGACCACATTCCTAAACTTCCTATATCTCCTCTTAAACAGCCAAGGCTGAACTACGAACGCATTGAGGAAGTACACGATCATGGCCAGGCTAAAGTACAAGGTGTACTTTAGGATCTGGAGGAGGAAAGATATCATTTTTGTTGTTAATAAATTTGTAAATTTTTGTGTGGGGTTTTGGGGTTTTGGGGTTTTGGGGTTTTGGGG